CTCCACCAAGCTTTCGCAACTTTTAATTTAATTTCAAGCAAAAGGGACAATTCACTGTAGGAGGAAAAAGGTTCTTAAGAAACTCTGTAGTTTTAACAGAGGAGTGTTGCGAGTAGTCACTGTCTATAAATGATTGAATATGAAATGAAAGACAACTTATTAATGTTAGTGATAAAGTGCAATGCTCAAGCCAGCACACTCGCTTTATTAACCAAGAAAGCAAAATGAACATTATAAGCAAGAGAAAATGAGTAAGTCTGATTTTTGAGTCCTAGCTCAGATTTTATCAGGTATAACTTTCATTATCTTCAGTGAAAAATTTACAGCAAGAAGAAACAGCAGAATGGGGATTTACAAAGGCTTGATACGCTAATGGAGAAGCTCAAAAGAAATTAATCTCATGAGTTAACTTGATTGACTTCAGTTGGCTCAATAGGTGAAAGTAGAAAAATAGCTGTGCTTTTCATATGATTAAGAAGGAAACTACCTCCCAAACAGGCTATGTATTACAATTTTGAAAGGTAAAGGGTATTGTTTTACCTTATATAGGGGCTGTACGTATTTGGAGCATACAATTTTGCAAGTACTCTAGCATAGGGATTCTTCCAAAAATTAGAAATACAGTTTCATTGCAAAAAAAAAAAGATGCACTGGTCACCAGCAAAGCATTTACCCTGAGAATACTAATATGAAGACATCACAGAAAAAAATTATCATCAGCATGCACGCATTTTGAAAGAGAACTAATACTGAGTAATTCAATCCTGCCCAAGGGGTCTGCTTGATGGCTGCTTGCTTGGCTAACTTCTACTTTAAACTGTTGCAATGAGACACCAAATTATTCCTTTTTTAAAAAGTTGGTAACAGCACCTCTCTTATATATAGACTGTGCAGCATTGCCATCTGTGCCGTGTCAACCCTAAATATACATGTAGATATGAATAATATATATAGATGGTGAACTATTAAAAAAATTGCTTCCAAAATGCAGTGTTGTTTTAATTAATAATGTAATTCCTCTTTTCTTGTTGACATTTTACCTTTATGTGAATTGCACCCTCCACGAGAGTATTAAAAACTGAAGATATAATTTCACCAGCTTGTGTTTTGTCAGTACTTCCCTGGTTTTGTTTTCATTTATATAGTTATTTTACAAATGGACTCTTACACATCTCCTTCGAGTTTTAAGTAGTTGAATGCAAACCAAGCCAGAGAGTCAGAGAGTTTGCAGAGTGGAACCCTCCACTCCTGATTGTGACCAGAAGCAGATGCTGGAAGACCTGCAGTCTCGCATCGGCAGAGGAATGGACAGAGGAGAAATGGCTGGCAGGCAGGCAGGCAGGCAGGAAGGAAGGAAGGAGGGAAGGAAGCCAAGAAGGAAGGAAGGCTAGGTATCCTGAATGTGCCATTACAGCAAAAGGTAGGAGGAAAAACATCAGATGGGCTACTAATAATCATGAGAGCTCTACATCCAAATTGCACTTCCACAGTCATGCAAATTGTTTTAGTCCCAGAGGTAGGAGTTGTGATAGAAGTATAGAATTTTCTATCACTTTGCTTATTCTAGAGATTTCCAGATTTAGTCTGTGGCTCACTGGTAGCCCACAGGGTCATGACAAATGGTCTGCTGGTCATTCACAGACCCATAGCTAATAATACTTCATTTCCGTCCATTAGAAGGTCAATGAGAAAGATACCTAACTGTCAGTACTAAGTTTTGGGGGCTGGTGGCGGCACACCCAAAATATTTTTGAATTATTGACTTAATCCTACTTTTTTTCGAAGTAAATTTTAATCACTGGTAGATGCATAGAATTTCTTATTCATTGGTATGCTACTCTGTACTCAGCTGCATTTTACTTTGGCTTGTAGGACTCAAACAAGCAACTTTATTAAACTTAATTGCTCTTATCAGAACAAACCCACAAATCTCTTTGATAATGATATGTTTACTTTTGAACTTTTATTGATCTTGTCCTATGTTTAATTATGGACCTGATCCTCTGTTTGTACTCTCTTCTTGACTTCAGGGGTGTTTAATCTCTGCACAGCCAACTACGTCTTTACAACAGGTCATGAGATAGAGATTTAGGATTCTCCAACTAGAATTTTCAGTAGAAGTATGGAGAGTGAAAGGATTGTAGATTAGACATTTCTCATAGTAAAGACTACTTTGGCAATAGGTACAAAATAAGCAACGCTTCGGCACCAGATCCTTCTGATGGGGGAATTTAACGAATGAACTTTGATTTATGTCAGCAGAGAGTCTGGCATAGCATATTCTGAATTAGTCAGTCCAGACTTTGTTATTTCTTTATGCTAAAATATGTGAGTCTACAATGCAATACATGGAATGGAGGACTTGGATAGTAAAAAAAATGAAATAACATGGGTTCGTTGATTGCTTGACGGCAAGTAGTTTGTACTGTATTTAAAAATACACAGGTTAAAGAGCTATTTGAAAACACTTCCCTAGCCATGGGTTTATGATTTCTGGTTAAAGGAGACTATCTGAGCAAAAAACACAGAAATCCAGAGAAACTCTTCCATGTAGTAGATGAATTTGACAGGTGCCTTCTTTATCTGCACACTGTAATTTATTCCAAGTTGTACTATTCACTAAAAGCAATTTATGGATTTTTAAAGCCAAAGGGGTCAGTGCAAGTGACTGTAACCACGTTTACAATAACTTTCATAAACATTCACTCTCTAATTTTTGCTTCAGGCCGAGTAACCACTACTTACACCAAAGCATATTTTACAACCAGCTGGATTTGAAGACCTCAGTCAGTGGACGATGTACACCATGGCCAGGTGAGGTGTTCTGAAAGGCTTTTTGTCTTCACTGCCAAAATAACAAGCCAGATTTCCATCCTGACTCTCTAGCTGTGATTTTTCAGCTCTGCTGTGAATTTACCTTAACTCTTGCATTTTAACCATAAAACTTCGAGCAAGCACTCGGTACCTCCTTAACGTTGTACTAACCGGCTGAATACCCGCGGCCAACACTCCCGCCTCTATTTCCCGAAAGTTACGCTTCTTTGCAGGGTGTCTCAGAACGGCCGAGGTGGAACGGCGCTTGCCTGGACGTTACACCGCGTCTGCCCCGATCCTAGGAAGAGACGGCTGCACCGCACCCAGCATTGAGAGCGGCCGGGGGCAGGAGGAAGACATGCCTTCCCCTGCCAAAAGCGGGGCATCGCCCGTGCCGTGCCGTGCCGATGGGAGCCGAGCACCTGCAGCCGGGGCTGCCCGCCGAGCATGGGACAGCAGAGGTCGCCGCCGGCCCGGCGCTGGCCCGGCGCGCCGCGCACCAGGTGCCGGAGCAAGTACGGGCGGAGGGGGGCCAGCTCCGCGACCCTCGCCCTGCGGGGGATCCTGCCCCCCGACCCCTGCCGTGCCCCCGACCCGGGGCTGAACCTCTCCGCCGCGCCTGTCGGGGTACCCCCACGGCTGGGGGTGGGGGGCAGCTGCAGCTTGCGGGCTCCCGGTTGCCAGGGTTTAAAGGAGTGGGTGGGAAGTGAAGGAAGCTGCGGAGCTCCCCCTTGCCAAAGATAATAAATCGGATGCCCTGACATATTTTACTTAGCCCTTACTGCTCCCTCGCTGCGCGGCCGTGGGGATCGGAGGGCTGGAGCCCCGGTCTCTCTCGTCCTCAGCTCCGCTTTAGGGGCACTTTAGGTGAATCAAACCTTGTTTGCAGGAGGCAAACTACACAAAGGAGGCTTTCAAGGGCCAGCCGTGCCAAGCAGGGCAAGGGAGCGAAGGCTGAGCAAGAGAAAATTAAAATAATAGTACCTCCCCTCCCTGAGGAAGTAACTCAGTTACTTTTCGCTGATTAAATGCAGGCTGCTGTGTTTTATGACATTTCCTCGGTGTCTGCAGCTGTCAGGGAGAGCGGACAGGCATGAGCAGCCTCTCCGCGGTAGGTGCGCAGAAAATGCCTCCTCCCCAGAAACGGCGGCGGGTCCGAAGCAGGCGGGGTGGCGAGGCCGGGTCAGGGGCACGTCTCGGAGGCCCTGATGCCGCATCCCGCTGCGCCCGCGTCTCCTTGCGGCGCCCCGGCAGAGCTCTGCCCGGTGGCCCTGCCGGGGGGGTCACTGCGGATCCGGGCCCGCGCCGGAGCCCCAGGCCGGAGCCACAGCCCGCCCGCCCGTGGCAGCGCCCTGCGACCTGGACAGCGCCTTCCCGAGGGGGCGACTCGTTCCTGCCTCCTTGTTCTTCCCTCCCCGATGGCGGGGGGGCTTTCCTCGCCTCCTCGGGGCTACAGCTCCCTGGGAGTTGCTGCCAGTACCCTGGGTACTGCCCCGCGCCCTTCGATCCCCTGCCTGCCTCCTGCCTTCGCCCCTGACCCAGGCGGCGATGGACAGGGACTGGTTAAATTAGAAGAGAAGAACCCACCTCATTCCATGCGATTAAAATTAAAAAAAAAAAAAAAAATTCAGGGGCCACAGTCCCAGAACAGTGGCGATGGGTGACTAGTGGCGAGTGGAGGCTGGAAGCCAAAGGGCCGGACAGCGCCGGTACAACGCACCCTCCCACTCCGCATCGCCGGGCGTCAGGCTTAACCTATAGTCATAATCTGTACTGCTGGTTCTTGGGGTGGGGGCTTCTTGACCGGGATGGAGAAAGGCGCTTGGGGCATACCGGTAAAAAGTTATCTGTCATCGCCTTTTCCCTTTAGGAAGAGGAAAAAACCCAAGAAAGAACGTTCCCCTTTACCAGACATTAAAATGTAAAGGACCAAACTCAGGTCTTCCCAGGGCCCGCGCTGTTCATCCCGGTGAGGTGAGAAAGAAGAGCAGAAAGAGGTCAAAAATCGCCTTCATCCCTCCATTTGAATGAAACTGCCCGCAAATCCGCTCGACCGCGCCGAGGGCGCGGAATTTGGTTCCCCGGGGCACTCGCCCGGGCACCGGGGGCACAGAACTCCCCGGACAGGTGAACAGCACAAAGAGAGGAAGCAGAAGTTATCAAAGTATAAATCTCTTCGCACTTACTTCTTCCCTGTCGCCGTACCCTGGAGGCGTGCTGGCTGCCAATGTATTCCATAAAGTTCAAAGTGATAAAAAACCAAGAAATCAGTCGCAATTGCATAGTAACCCTTTGAGAGTTCGACTTCTCCTTTTCGTCCTTTTTTCCTTTCCTTAAAAAAAGAAATAATAAACCGGGGTGGTAGGCGGCAAGGGATGAACACAGCAGCAGAAATACCTGCACTGAGATCCAAAGCTGGGCTTGGCCGGCTTGATGGCTTTTGCCTTTTTTTTTTCTTCCTTTTTTTTTTTTCCCTTTCCCCTTCGCTTTTCCTATTGCACTTTCCAGCAGTCTGCCCCGCTACCTGCCGCAAACCTCAGAGGGCAGTCAGCCGCGGAGAGGAGCCGAGCAGCCGCCGCCGGGGTCCATGCCGGACCGGTGGCCGGCAGCATGTTGTGCGGGTGCCGGGGTGCGTGCGGCTGTGCGCGCCCGTGTGTGCGCCGGGCGGGCGAGGTGCCGACAGGACGGATGGATGGATGGCGGTGGGAGAGGAGTGTGCGAGGGCGGGAGCGGCGGGGGGGCAGAGGGAGGACCCAGCCCCGCCGCCGCCGCTCCGGAGCAGCCGCGCTGTGCGCCGCGGGCACCGCCAGCCGCCGGGCGCAGGTGGGCCGGGCCCCCCCGGCTCTCCCGCCCGCCGACCAGGAGCCTCCGGACTTCATGCGGGAGCTGCTCCTGAGCGAGGCCCCGGGGGAGAGGCCCCGGGGCGGGGCGGGCCGGGAGGAGCAGAGCCCCAGCGCCCCGGCACGGCGGGGGGAGGCTCTCCGTGCCCGGCCGAGCCCTCTCGGGGCACGGGCTCCCGAGCATCCTCCAGCGGCCGGGCCCGCGGGCGGCGGAGCTCTGCAGCCTCGCTGGCAACCCCCGCCTGGAGGTCTCCAATCGACTCTCCTCCGTCTCCGGCCTTCCAGAGGTCACCGCGGAGGTGCCGCTGCCCCCCGCGTCCCGGCCCCTCCGTGGGGAGGAGCCCCCCCACTCGCCAGGGGGATGGGGCGGGATGCTTAGCCCCTTCCTTGCGGAGGGGGACACAGCGCAGCACCCCCCTCTTCCCTGAATCTACTTACATCCCTGCTCGAAATGGAGATGGGGAGATGGGAGGGGGGCGGTGAGGAATTTTCTCCATTGTGGACTTTCCCCACGGGACAGGGATTTTGCGAGGTGGCTTCTCTGGCGGGACGAGACAGAACGAATCCCGTGTCCTGCCGGGGCCGGGGGCCGTCCCCACGGCCGGCTGATGGCAGGCGAGGCACGGGGCCGGTCCCGGGCTGGGACTGAGCGGAGTCGTGCGCCCGCGGGTGAACGCAGTAACCTGCCTCCGGTGCCATCGGGACCCTCGGCAGAGCCCCGGCATCGAGGTCACAGCTCAGCTGCACCTCGGCGAGGCTAGGCCGCCTGTTTGACAGAAGGGTATCGCGTTTCTTTCCTCCGGCAAGGGTTTATTTTTGGGGTGAAGGGGAAGGCTACAAAGGGTGAGGTGATGCTGATTCAAGGCAAAAACGGCGACTTCACTGAGCTCTTTCTTGCTTCCCTTCTTATCTCAGTCCTTATCTTATCCAAGCCTATCTCTGAGAGAGTGAGCCGTGTAAATCGGCGCTGACTGCATCAAGAACCTCAGTGGTGTGAGAAGCAGCCACTCTAATTGTAACTGTTTTCCTCAATCTTTCCCCTCGCTGCCCCTCTCAGAGCTGTTAAATATCTGTACCATAAAATGTGCGAGATTTAAAGGTCTGTGGGAGGCTCCCTTTGAAAAGGACTCCGGGGAAAGCCTTTCTAATCCAGGATACTTGAGCCGGATGGGGTGGGATTGCCGGAGAGGCATAAAATAAAAATCATTCAGCAGACAAAACTAGGGGCTACCCTGACATGAAGAAAGTGTATTTGTCTTGGTGTTTTATTTTGTTGGAGATTGAGACTTCTCGTGTCCTAGTGTGTGCGTAAATATCTGAGGAAGCCAGGCGAGTGACATAAACAAACAAGACTGTGGAGAAAGGATGGGACATGTATGTGAGCCAACCTGCAGCTAGCCAGCCAGCTCACTCGAGCAGCATTAACACCAGTGGGCAGAGAAAGCATGTCAAAAAATAAACGCTCTGTGAGAAACATAAGGAAAACATTAAACAAACGGGGAGTGCACTCCCTCTCCTTGCCCTGACAAAGCACGGCTGAGAAAACTCTGCTTGCTGTCTCTCCAGCCTCTTCCCTTCCCTGTGTCCCTGCTACAGCAGAGATGCATGGGACAGATGTGTTAGGAGACAGTCCCAGGGACCACGTGGGTCACCCAAGAGCCTCAGCAAAACCGACTTGTGAGGTGTGTGCCAACCAAGGGCCAAGCAGTAGGGCAGGGTATGCATGAGTGACCAGCAGCAGTGGGAGGGAGGGTGGAGGAAGAGGTCGTTTTACTTGCTGTGGAAGAGGGGCAGAGGCATAGATTGAGGAGAGAACAAAAGCTGTGCCTTGACTCAAGATGAGATCCAAAAAGCAGCAGGGCAAGAGAACACCAGAAAGTTAGGTTACTCCCTCAAACCAGCCGCATTAGGAGGGAAGAAACCCACCCAACAACAATAACAAACTGAACCCATAAACAGTTATTGCCGTTCTGCAATAAAAGAGGAAGATTTCTATCGTTGAAATGTGTGGAAGGAGCTTGTTCCAGAGCAAAACTTTGGCATGCAGTTCTCTGTTTATGTCGCTCATCCCGATGGATGAGATATCGGTGGCAAAGTTCAGGCTGACATCAGCCCTGGGGAGGCAGAACCAGCGGCCAGGCTGGGCTGAGCGGGGCTGCACAGCTGTGCATGGGCTGCGGCCTGTGGATGACCGGCTTTGGGGGGATCCAGTACACAAAACACCTCCCCTCACCAGGCCCGGGGATTTGAGGAGCCAGCAGCAGCACATACTGTGGAGGGAGCTGGATGTAGTGTTTCCTTGCAACTGCAACGAATGAATCAGAAACAGCTCCCAGGATGGTTTTATATGCTGCTCTGTTTTGGGGTTTATTAAAAAGGATGGGGAGGGAGAGAATGACTGATCATCTGTATGTTGCTGGAAAGTCAAATATGTCTGTTTTACTGAACTGCACTGAAACCAGCAGCAGGAGACTGTAAAATCAGTGAGGTATTGTTTTGCTGGGGTTTTTTTGTTTGTTTCTTTTTTTTGTTTGTTTTTTGTTTGTTTTTTTTTAAGAAGAGTAATCCTTTAGTCAAAGGGTAATAGCGTGTGGTGTTTTCACTATTGCAATTCCTGCCCTGCAGTTTTTCTGTGCAAATTTTCACAACTAGAAAAAGTTTATTTCAGTTTTCTGAATAGCTACCAGGTTGTGGGAAAAGGAAGGTGGCCTCGGGATGCTCAGATTATATACAAAATAAGATAATAATATTCAATTAATAGCTGAAATTTTGCTTGCTTAAAATGGCACTCTAGTCATAAAAACTAGCCATGTGAACAGGACAGCTGAATGCTAACCCTTTGTCATTCTTCTCTAGACTGGAAATAGTTTGTGTAAGTGAACAAAAGGGTCACTAATTTGCCTTTTCAACTTGGGAAACACAGTAAAGAAATAAAGGCCTTGGGTTACTTCTGATATATAACTTGAAAATGAAGCATACTGTGTCCAATACAATATCCTTATTTTTCATGTGCTGATCAGGACGCAGATGGCATAGGTCAGATTTCACTACCAAGGAATCATCCCTGGTAGCATCCCCACGGACCTGATTCAGTCATGTCTGTTGAAAGGAGAAGGACTGGAGGACTGCAGCAGGCATCCTGAGTAAAGGTTGCACAACCCAACACATCTACTATTTGTTAAATACCAACAACATTCTTGGCACTACGCAGGACCCCAAATCATGACATTCTTTGCTCCAGATTTTTCTTTTCGTGTACAAAATAAGGGGCAAGCAAAAAATGGGCAAGGCACTCAGAGAGACGCAAATATATAAGAAATTACCCAAAACACACATGCACACACATATGTATATCTGTAAGTGTGTGTGTGTGTGTGTGTGTGTGTGTGTGTGTGTGGGTATTACAATTGTTTTGCATGTTTCCCAATCCGACAGTTGTTGTATTTCTCTGTTTCCTAACATAAACCATTTGTTCTTTAGCCATGTTCAGTTTAGGAAGTTAATCTTCTGTAACATCATGAGCATTCTCAAAAGCTGTTAATATCACAGAAGATCTTATTTCCATAGTCTAAGTATACTGAAAGAAGTGAGTGATGAGAAATGCTTTACTCACCAGTTTAACTTATGTGTACTTTTGAAGAAATAAACTTATTCCTAAAGATCCAGTCCCGATATCCTTAATAATGTCTTTATGTTTCAGATATTTAAAATATCTAATGGCAGAACATTAACAACATGTGCAGCAGAGAACAATCCTACACTGGCAACAAATAGACTAAATGACCTAATTGATTTTTCCCATCTCCAACTTGTACAATTCTGTCATTGTAATAAAATCCCAATGTAACCAAAGTTTGCAGGATCAGGCCCTAAATTAGCATGTTGATCTGGACTACCCCTCAACCTGGGTCAGGTCCAAAGCCTGCTGCTGTCAGCTTGACCTTTTATCAGTCTGAGAGAGGTTTGGATCTGGTTTTCTGGATCACACTGGAGGAAAGCTGAATTATTGTTTTATTGTATGTGGAAGAAAAAAGAAGGCATATTTGTGGGAAAAACACGTGAATTCTGCAGCACAAACCTTCCAGATGCAGTTCAGTTAAGAAAGTCCAACAGGAAGGCCTCGAAATGAGAGCTTTTTGGCACAGAGGAAGTTTTAGCAGTTAATACGAGGATGATCAAACCATGCTAAGTCATTGTTTCCCTGTATTCATTTATCAGTTGGTCGTCTCTTGGACTTGCAATCAGATTGTAAAACTTTTGGGATGCAGACCAACATTTTGTTCTGTTTGCAGAATCTGTGCCTAGAGCAATTGTGTCTACAAGAAAAAAATCTCAGCATTGCCAGGGAAGTATGTGTGTATTTTGAGTGAAAATACTCATTCTAGAATAGAAGCAACTAACAAATGTATTTTTTTTAATGCGTGCTAAATTGGGGAAAAAAAAGCTTTTGATCTAGGTAACTTCAACCATCTAGAAGGCAATACCAGAATAACTGCACTGGCTTAAATTCATGCATCAGTTTGCCCAAGTATACTTCTCTTGTGCTGCCAGCCCATAGGGTGGAACTGTAATTGAGTAAATCTGGAGGATGTGAGTAACAGCAACAAAAGTTTCACAGCCTTCTGACACATTCATTTGTCTAGGCATTGATTTCTCTATGATTTCAGTATTTGGGAGGATTTGGCAGTGTTTCTTGTGAATGTCTTTGGTGTTAATGTCAATTTAAGTAAATTCCACACTTGCCCAAATGACTTGCTCATTCCCACTTCCTGGGCTGTATTGGTCCAAGGATTTGGGAAATATCAGGTTGAAAAATGAAATACTAAAAAAAACAAGGGTTTTT